TAGGATACAGTGGCAAAACAGATGGCAGTGCATCTTCTTTAATGTCATTTCTAGAGATAAAACCATCTCCATTTCTGATGATTGATGGCTTGACAGTGTGGAGGATTTTGGTGGTGAGAATTTTCTTTTCTGGATTTTCAGTAGCTATGGCTACTGTAGCCCCTGCAGAAATAGCTGCCACGTCTTATCTTGGCAAGAGCAACTTGGATGCTGGTTGTGGGGGATGGGCTGGAAGCAGGACTGTTATCTGGAGAAGTGCTGCCATTCCTGGAATGCTTGGGCTTGCATGCTTGCTCATCAGTAGCAGTTGGATAGCAATTGGTATTGGTTATGGCAAGGAAGGTAGGTCCCTTCTCCACAAGGAATTCTCTACTCAATGACGGCTGCAGGGCTGGGGCTGGGAGTGGGGTCTATGACAGAAACAGGGCTAGCAGTCCATTTCCAGGATTCTTGTGCTCAGGGTCCTAAGCTATGTCTATTGGAGTCTTCAGGGAAATGGTAGTTGAAGTGATGGCAGTGCCTTGGGTTGCCAGGCACCAGCTGCCTCCTTCCTTTCCCTCAAGGTGCTCCAGCTAGGCTGGCTTTCCTTTCCCGTAGATGGCAATTGGTTATGAGACTTGACTTCTTTCATTTCTTAACTCTGAACCACATTTCCCAATACATTTTGATCTAATATTGATTCTTAAAAATTTGAATAGTAAAATACCTAAAATCTTTTCTATTATTCAAGTTGATTGAGTAGTGGTAAAAGTCCCAAAGTCACCTTAATACTACGCTAGGCACTAGATATACAAAGACAAAAATGAAAACAGTTCTTTCCCTTGACAAACTTATACTCTGTTGGATTATGTGGAGAAAATTCATATGAAATAAGCCTAGAAAAGTAGTTTGAAACCAGATTGTAGAATGCCCTAAATGCCTATCCTATCCTATCCTAAGGATAGAATCTTAGGATCTAGAGACTAGATTAATTTTCAGACTTTCTTTGTGGCTTTAGTCAAATCTTATAACTTTTTTTGGGGGAGGGTAGCTAGGCAATGGGGTAAATGACTTGCCCAGGGTCACAGCTAGTAAGTGTCAAGTGCCTGAGGGCGGATTTGAACTTAGGTCCTCCTGACTCCAAGGCCAGAGCTCTATCCACTGAGCCACCTAACTGCCCCAGGACTTTTTTATTATCACCTCTAAAATAAAGTGCTATTTAAGCACTAAGGTAATATAATAAATTATTTACCAAGCATTTTGAGCTTCCTAGAAAAAGGCAACATTTTACACTTAAATAATGTACTAGCAGAAGTGGAAGGGGACAAGCATTTCTTCAGCACCTGTATGTGCCAGGCATAAGTGTTACCTCATCTGGTCCTCACCACGACCCTGTGAAGTAGTTGCTATTTCATCCTCATTTTACAGATGAGGAAACTGAGTCTGACAGGTTAAGTGATTTGCCAACTGTTATACAGCTGGGAAGTGTCTGAGGCAGGATTTGAACTCAGATCTCCTTGACTCCAGGCCCAGCCCCCTATCCACTGTGCCACCTACCTGCCAGAAAAGGTAAGATGGTAAGGACTCAGCCTTACATAGGCAAACGTATTTTCTAGCTGTCACATGCTTTTAGTTGCTCTTGCCACCAGTTTAAGAGAGAGAAATTCCATCTTCTGCCCACTGCCTCTTGCTGGAAGCCCAAGGTAAAGATAGTGCTAGATGTGACCCTGAAAGAAACTGAGCTCCTCTTGGAGCCCACACAATGCTCAACTCCCAAAGCAGTCATTAGTCATTTTTGACACAACCTCACAGTCACTGAGCTGAGGAAACCAATCAGGAGTTGCAGTATTGGTTATGTCCCTTAGCAAGACACCCCTGAATACCCAATATATATAAATGAAGAATGAGTGGAAGGCATAAGCAAAAAGCCTAGAATCTGGGTGTTGTAAATAAGCCTGAAGGTCAAAAACTGTACTGTCAATAATTCTTTAATATCTTCATTTTTCTTCAGAAGACGTGAAATACAAACATACTATGCTCATTCATTACTGTCTGGCAAGGCTGAGTTAACATTATTTTACTTTTCTCATTTAATATGGTAGAGACTCCATTGTTAAGGTTCAAAACTGGTAGCTTCATTATTGTTGTTGAAGAAAACAGATTAGAAACTTAGCCACATTTGCTCCATTTTTCTCTGTCATCTTTCTGCCAGTTTAATCTGTGAATTATCTTAAGATGATGTCATTGATCTGGCTCTTGCTCTTCCTATTTTATGATGTGATAGTAATAGAGCTTGGCAGTCTTCTGACGTCCGTCTCTCATAGAGTTTTACAAGTGAGTTTTATGTTCTAAACCCGTGTTCCAATGGCAGTTCAATCTCTCTAGTTGGCAACATTAAGAATTTTCTGCTTAAAGTAGTTTCTGGGCTTGGCAGTTAAAGCTTTTTCAGGAATGTTGAAAGTCAAGGTCAACGTCTTTGCCTTTTGCCACTGACCATTTTTCAGCATCATTTGGATGGGTCAGATTAAGGCTCTTGCTTTCAGTGTTGCCTTCTTGTTTTTATCTGTTCTTTTCATTTGGTGTTAACATTGATTTTGCTTTAACTGATCAATGACCTGATTGAACTTCTATGACTCCCAAAAGAATATAGTTTCCTGTCTATTAAGATAACATCAAATTGTTTTTGTGATGTTTGGTACTCAATGTCTTATGCTTCTGACTTGATTCTGCAAGAAAATTCATGATAAATAATTATGTGACTTCTTAGAGGTCCACAAGTCTTTAACTTCTTTCATTTCTCAAATCTAAACATTATTTTCAACTTCCTCAATTATTTTTTCCTTTTTGTTATAAACTGATTTTCTACTGGGGTGGGTGAAGGAAGGCATCATGTACACAGATATGTAAATGAAAACTATATTCCGGTTTTCCAATATATTTCTGACCTCATCTATGTGACTGTTTCCTCCAGTGATAAAGATATCAGCCCATTCATGCTTACCGATACTGTGTACTACTCATTAATGTCCTCTCCTAAGTTTGCAAAAGGCCCATCCAACCTGCTGGAGATTTTTTAACATTTCTGTGATGCCAGTGAAGTATGTGGGGCTGTCTATTTGTAATGCCTCACTCATGTGCTGTAACTAGACCATCGCTCCTGAAGAATTTTTCTTTATTCACATCTTTTATACAGTTTGTTCTATATCATCCCATGTTTGTCACATGTCACAGAATGCTCTCGCTCACCCAGGGTCTCTCTGTTGCTCTTTGGGTAAACCTTACCTTCACCTCTTTGAAGGCTGTAGTTTTCCATGACTTACGTCCCTATAACATCATAGTGAAAGCATTGATTTTTAAAATACGGACGTTTATTTCATTGGAAGCTTGAGGTCATTAAAATAATTCCAGTCTCCCTAATGAGCCAGCACAACTCCTATTGAATTCTGGACCCCGCTCATTGTTCATTTATGTTACCTTATGTTTGAAATACGGGTTTATTTTGAATCCTAGCATTTCTTTTGCAAATAAACATTTAATTATCTTGGACTGAGTTGGAAGAGGGACCCTGGCCATTTCCTTCTTTTTCCAGAGGAAATAGTGGCCCAGAGGATAAATTGACTTGTCCAAAGTCACACAAGCAATAAGTAGCAGAGCTGGCCTTTGTACCAAGGGTCTCTGATGACTCATAGTCCAGTACTTTCCCTTCTACACCACATATTTGACTGGGCTTCTCCATTTGAGGATATTTTTGTATTTGCTGACATAGTGGTTTATAAGTGGCTCTAAGGAATTTAATGTGCTTGAAGGTTTTCAGTCTCTTTAAGATGAGGACTATGTATTCTCCATCTTTAATTTTCCCCCTCTTCACCCATGACTATTTATAATATGCTATACACATAGTAAATACTTAGTACATTTCTTCTTCGCTGAGTGAAATGTTCAGTTATTCAATAAATATTTATTGGACATCTCATGTATGCCAAATGTTCTTCTAGGTTCTGGGAGAAATGTAAAATTTAGATAAAAGACATGTTCCCTACCCTCCTGGAAGTTGTAGTCTTGTGCACAAATAGGACATAAACATAGGAAATTATAAAGTAAAATATTACGTGAGGAGTGAATTAGATAGTTGCAAAACAAAGTGCTGTGTGAGGTATGCAGGAAAGATTGTCACTGGGATCATGGAAAGCTTTTCATATAGGAGGTGAATATTGAGTTAGGCATTAAAGAGTGAGTAGGATTTAAAGAGATCATAGATTTAGAGCTGGAAGCATCAGCAGTGAACTAATCCACCATTTTCCCCCTGCCCTTCTTACAGATGAGCCAACTGAGAGCTAGAGAGGTTAGGAAATTTGTCCAAGATCCCCTGTGGCTGAGCTGGGATTTGAACCTAGGTCCTAACTACAAATCCTACACATGATAATCTCTCCATTCCCACTGCCACCTACTTGTTCAGGCCCTTTCCTCTCTCTTGAACTATGCTAACATTTCCTTAGCTAGACTCCCCACCTTTGCCTGGCTCTTTCCTTCAGTTTTACATGAAGTCAATGTACAAGTCTAATCAAATCACTTTTCTGCTCAAACCTCCCACTACTTACCAGATAAAGTTTGGACTTCCTATCTTCACATTCAGAATTTTACATAATCTGGCTTCTACGTATATTTCCAACCTAATCTTACACACTTTATTTTCTAGTTAAAATGGTCCTGGAATGTTCTTCTCTCACAAAGAGGAGGGAAGACTTGAATGAACATTGATGTGTGTGTGTATATATGTGTATGTGTGCATGTATATTATACATATATGTGCATGTGTGTATATATATGTATATATGTGTACATATATATCTTTTGGTACTTTACAACAAAAATTAATCAAACTATGTGGCTTTGATATTTAAGTAATAGAAATTTTAATTTCCTTTGTCAACAGAATTGAAGTACATAGTTTTAGTATTTGATTTGTGCATTTTTATGTTTTACATAAATTATCTAATCACAAATTCATTTTTTTCTTATAGCTCCAGTGATAAACCGATTTACTAGACGTGCATCAGGTAAGTCTACTATCTTTGTGCTTATATTGGCTTGCGTGATGATAATGTATTAATGATAGCGTTTACAATTTATATTTTTTTAAATTCATATTTCTGACCGATTTATTTTAAGATAAGTATAATAGTACCTAATTTATTTAAAATCATCAAGGAATGAAGTGTGAATTTTTCAGATAATGAAAGTTCACCCTGTCAAGGTCCAGAATTTTTAAAATAATTTTGAACAAGAAAAATTTTCTAAGACTGTAAAAACAACAACAACAACAACAACAACAAATTTTGGTGTGTTGAAGGGGGAAATTTCAAACTGGCTGTCTTTTTGCTTATACTATAAAAAGAATAATTAGTTCTTGGAGGCCTACTTTGTTTCCATTTGTACCATAATGTTTGATACATTAAAATTTCTAAATTTGCTGATAGTTGATGGTTAAACTTGTGCTTACGGAGTTGACTAGGACTGTATGGAACAAAATGCAGCTTTTAAGAAAATGTGCCTGATTATGGTGGAACCTATTATGTTCTCTTTAAATGTTTGTAATCTTGATAGTTAGCTTTTTTCATCATTACTATTAGAAACAAAATGACAAGAATATCTTTTGTCAGACTGGTAGGCTATTTCTGTCAAACAGGTTATCAACTATATGTCAAACTAAAGGATTAGAAAGTTGTCATAATTATAAGTATGTACGTGTGTGTGTGTGTGTGTGTGTGTGTGTGTGTGTGTGTGTGTGTGTGTGTAGATAAAAAAAGAAATCACTGAAAACTGGTCCTAAGGCCACCTGGCTATAAAATAGGCAAATAATATACTAGTTTGATTGTCAAGGTTCCCAGAAGAAGTAGTTTCCATTAATGATTGTATTAACATGAGAACTAAGATCTAGTGTGCGTTAAAATATTTTGCTTCTGGACAAGTTTAATTAGTAACAACCATGAACTATATTTAACATTGATTGGTAGGTCAGATGCTCCAAAATAAAGGCTTGGTTTGACATCCTTTTATTGTTACTCTGTGGGAAGCAAAGCTATGTTTGTTAGATCTCAGGAGAACTTAGCTGTGACTACGATGATGATGGAAGGCAATGGAATGTTAAAGCAAAAAAGAAATGCCAAAATTGAACATTTCAGTTCTGCATTGGTAGTATAAGAGAAGCAAAACTAGGAAATAGCATTAGGAAATTAGCTGTACTTAGAGGAAGCAACATTGGGCTAATAAAATTATGTGGTAATACATAGATCTTATAGATAAGAATAATTGCTATTATCTAGGTAACATGAGGTGCCAAAACCTAATTGGTTATTATATTTCTGATCTAGTTTTCTTTTTTCCCACTTAATAGTATTTTATTTTTTCCAATTACATGTAGAGATAGTTATTCAACTTTTATTCACTTTTATAAGATTTTGAATTCCAAATTTTTTCTCCCTCCCTTCCCCCCTTCCTCCCCAAAACAGCATGCAATCTAATATAGGCTATATATGTACAATCCTATTAGACATATTAGTTTTCTTTTAAGCATAGTAAATAAAATTGTGAGAATCTAGGTGTAGTATAGTGGATAAAGTGAAATCAGAAAGGCTTGGGTTTTACATCTTGCCTCTGATACTAGCTTTGACCATTATCAAGTCATTTAAGCTCTAAGAACATCAGACAACTCTAAGATTATATAAGGGTTGCAATCTTCATAGCTGATGAGAGTTCCCACATTGATTAACTCAAAGATCATTTTCATATATAAAATTGTAAACAATCATCATTGGAAGAAAGAGTGAGACCAATGTAGTATCTAGAAGATTTACAGTCTGTTTTGACTATTTTACTTTTTAAAGATGTGTTAATAAAACTCTGATGCTTAAAAAGTTGAGAGAGATAATTTCTGTGTAATTTAATAATTTTATTAATAAGGCTAGCATGTTTATTAATAAAAAGAGGTCAGTGGCACTCTGGAATACCAAAGACCCCTCATGGCAGTAGACTCACAGTTTATATGCTTGGAAGAGCCAGTGTTCCTGATGGTGGCAATCAATTCTGATTGGTTAACAATTAATGCAAAAATGAATATTATAATGAGATGAAGGCTCGTTCTAATGAGGGTCTTGAGGTGCATGACCTGGGGATCACTCAAGACTTGGTCAAAGAGACTTATCAATTTCCATATCACCTGTCTGACAAAAGGGAGAATCCACATTTTCCCAGACCTTTCTGAATAAACACAATGAGCAGGAATATATCCATTAGCCTAAACTTAGAATTTCTTTTACTGTTTGATTAGATCTTAGCCTGGGTAAGTCTTTGTCCATCCCACACTGGTTGAATTCTGAATGAGGAAGAAGAAAAGGGGAAAAACCTTGGTCCTGATTCAATAATTAGTTAGCAATACAAGAGAGAAATAATCATTTCTCTCAATAATTTAATCATAAGGCTAAAAGGGATCTTCTAGTTTGTGGACAAGATCAGGCATGCTTAAGGTGTGATGTACATAGTCATAACATCTCTTTACATCTAACCTGTCTCCTCCCCTCAATCCCCAAATGGAAATCTAAACTATTTTAAGTAACTACGGAGGAGGAGTTTCTATAACCTCCTTTGTGATCCCAGTTCACCACCTAACAACCTGATGAGAAGAGATTGAAATTGAACTTCCATTTGAACTGTCTTAGGAAGACTCTGAAGATCACCTAGCAAGATAAGATACCAGACACTGAGGTCCTTTCTCAAACTAAACTGCCAACCATTCAAGCTGTACTGCAGAGAGTGCAACTCCCATGAGCTGGCCACCTTGTTCAGATGCCAAAAGTATGTTTGCCTAAAAGACTATCTTACAGAGAACTCTCACAAGGCAAGCTCTCACATGGAGATCAGTAGAAGTGATGCAAGGACATTTCTCAAGGTCTTACTGAAGAACTTTGGAATCGATTGCATATCATGGGAGACACTGGCAAAGGACCATTCATCATGGAGTGCCCACATCAAAGAAGGCTTTGTCCTCTATGAATGAGGCAGAATTGTGGTAGCTCAAAAGAAATGAGAGATTTGCAAATTTAGAGGTCTTCATATGGACTATTTGTGCCCAACCACAAATGCTATACCACGGTATAGCCTTCAGAGCTTGTATTGGTCTGATCAGCCACAGTCCGACATGAGGTACCTTGACCCCAGCATAGTGTTGTCATTTGGGTCCTCTTTGAGAACAAAGGACAAGAACCAACCAATCATATATGGTACTCTGGGGAACCAATCAAAATCAGTTGGGAGGATTTCCTTCTACATTGTCATCTGTCTTGGGCTTCAATTCCCTCTTAATACTTTTTCTGTCTTTTCTAGCTTGGAGGTCATTTCCTTTGAATGAATAAGATGGAAGCAAATCAGGTGTTGTATTGTTTTGATTTCTCTCATCTTTTAACATGATACCGTCTTCTCCCATCCAAAGTCCTAACTCTTTGTTTTTTAATGTCACTACCCTGACAATTTTTTTTAAAACTCATTTTTATTGTTCTTAGCATTTTTGTAAGTCTTAAATCATTTGGGGCTTTAGTATGCCTTATAGTATTCTAGTCTACTCCTTTGGTGTTTATCTTAAATTATGGAGCCCTCCTTCCAGCTTTTGAATATTCCCTTTTAAATTCACCACACATCAGAGGATTCTCTGTTTAGGATACATTGCCTCCTTTAGCATTTTCTTTTCTTTGGAATTACCTACAGCTTAAATTCAGAATTTTATTTTTGTGCCTCTTGACCTTCTATATAGTAGTTATATGTATAGCATAGTATTTGTAATTGTATGGATTTTATTTTATGCATTTGAAAACATTCTGAGAGGGGATACATGGACTTCAGCAGACTGCCAAAGGGATCCATGTTACAAAAAAAGGTGCAGAACTCCTGCTGTATAACCACATTCCCTTTTAAAATAGCATGGAGCCTAACCTATCTTGTCTCTGAGTTTATTCATGTTTTAAATTATTTTTCTTCAAGGCTAGGCTACTTGTCTGACTGTGCCCCATTGCTTATTTCCTCTGCTATTTAAAACTAAGATAGTATTGACCCTGTCACTTCCATATGACCAGTTTCCCATTGATCAGAATTAAAAGTCTAAAGTAACAGACACCCTAATTGCTTCCTCTTAATTTCTGACATGAAATTATTAGGATAGCAGATTAAGGATGTATCATATGTTCTGCTTTTAGCAAAAGTTGATTTCTAATTTCTGTCTCCATAGCTGGTGGTTCCTTTTCTATCTTGACTCTTGTCAGTTCTGTGATTTGCCTCAGAAAAGCATTATCCATATCTTCTATGAGGCCAGAAAATCTGCCCATAACAATATCGTTTCTTTTTCCTTTCCCTTTTATCTTCACCTAAATGCTTTCTATTTTGCTTCAATTATGATGTATATAATCTTGAAATTCAGAGCAGTAATTAAGCATTTTCTTAGCTGACAAATGTCTCCTCATAGCAATAGAAGTATAGGTGGAATTTTGATTTATTAATTTGCTAATTATTTTTTTCTTACATGGAAAATAGACCCTCTAAAAACTTTAGTCATATCATATATATATATATAGTTAATTTATAAGCTTTTATTAAGTGCCTGTTGCATGTAAAAAGACAAATATGAAACAGTTCCTGCACTCAAGCAGCTTGCACTCTATTAGGAGAGAAAACACCATGTTTAAGTACATGCAGAATAAATACAAGATAGAAAGGAGAGGATAGGGAGAAAGAGAGCATTAGCAGTTGGAGGGATTAGGAAAGGCTTCCTGTAGATAAATGATAGTCTTGAAGGAAGTAAGGGAATCCACAATTTGGAGGTGAACAAGTTGTTCTTTGGATAGAATCGTGTGATGGGCACTGGGAGAGAAGTAAAGCTTGTGTAAAATGAGGTCCCTGCCCTCCTGACACCTGTACTCTAATAGAGGAATAAGATACAAGCAGAGAAAACTGTCATACTTGATATTATAACATAAGTCTCTTAGAGAGTTGCAAAACAAAGGGCTGTGCAGGG